GTTTATTTCAACCATCCATTTTCTGTTCTGCTTATCTGCGCTGGGGGCTTGTCACAAATTGTGGTATTCTCATACCGTACAAGTCAAGGGTCAGTGTGATTCAGTTGACCAAGCCTGGGTAACCAGATACACAACCTGCCACTCAAATGTATGAATCCATCATCTCATTGCTGCAGTAGGTGATATTGCATGTCAGATGTTTTTATTATTGAAATGAGACATTTATGACATTGAGCCCTTGTCACATGAGAGCAGACTCTTGAATCACAACAATACAGCAAAGGAAATGAGATCTGGCAGATTATTTGAGCGCAACACCTGTGACTCCTCACTGTTCACAATATGTCAATTTAAATTAATGAAAATCAATTTCACTTGTATTGAGCTGAAGTTCACCAAAAATCACAATCTGAAGGATTGTGGGAGAAAGCTTGCTGGTGGTTTTGAGGCTTTGTTTCCTCAGGGGCAGACGAGGTTGGTCTGAATAGGGGTCTCTCAATGGCAGCTTATTGTTTCCTGGTCCATTGTTTGCCTATTCAGTCTGAAATACTGCTATTGTTCAGTAAAACATGGATAATGCAAACAACCCTATTGAAGGCCTGATTTAAGTCTTTTGGGAGCTGATGTTATGTTGAAGTTGTGTGTGCCCGTGGCTTGTGTGTGTCTGCTTCAATTTGCTCACAATGACACCATATCTGTCAGATTTAGCTGTGGGGTTGAGTGGTTTCCATCACGCTCTTATCTCTGGGCAGCAAACACATGCATTCACAGGAACACAGACACAAAAACACAGACACACACACACACAAACAAATTCTTATCTCTGGGCCTCCCTTATCGCTCCTGTTTGTATTCAAAAGTGGAAACAACATTTAGCCTTCTTAGTGGCCAACTGATTACATCCACTGACACATTTAAAGGTTGACATGTGCCCTCGTATTTGAGCATATTGGAAGCCCTCGGGCCTGACACCGATAGGCTTTCGCTGTGCTACTTTCAACCCAATTGCAACACATGTAATAGCTATTTCCACACCACGGTCTGCTAGTAACCCCTCATAGTCAATCATGTGTGTAATTGGTGCAACAGAGGCAGCAGAATGCTTCATTAAAAGTGTGTATAGCTGATATTCAGTTTCATATGCAGGACCTTAAAAAAATGACTACATGTTACACCAGGAAGTCAAGCTTACTGGAACAATCCACTGGACTTCACAAAGAATACAAAGGAAAACATTGCTGTGAAGTTTGATACACCACCTTTTTCTGTGTTCCAAAGCAAAAAAAAGTAGCATATGGTAAAAATTTGCAGAAGCCTTACCCATAAAACATGGCCTTAAAACTCAACACTTGTTTTTGCACTTTCACAAACCACGAAAGCAAGAAAGCTATATGGAGTTAAAGCTAGCTACACTGATTATATAGGTGGTATCTGAAACCTCAAGCTTTAATAATCATACTAAGTATGACTTCAAAGAAATGCCTAGATGTATACTTAATTGGCCATCATTTTTAAGCATGATACAGGGGGCTTAGTTATCATACTCTACAACCCCACAATGCATTGTTGCTCCTCAGTCAACCAGGCAACAAGGGGCGTATGAATGAAAGTAATCGTACAGAAATACTTTTTATTTGACTCTGAAATGTTTGATGAAGTCTTATAACTCGGAGAGGATGTGTATTCATATGTTGCTATAACAGTGAGGTTGGCAGTATGCAGTACTGTTTAAGTATATAGAAGACTGTACATTAAGCATGTTGTTTGGGACACAGCCTTAGCCAAAGATAGACTTAAATGATAAGTTGTTGCTGTTACCCTTTGTGTTGTTATTTAATACAAGAGCCGGAATTCCCATCACTAGCTCGAAGGAAACGAGCTAGCTGGAGTTAGCAGAGTAGAATTAGCTGCAATCCCAACCTTAGCTTTTGAGTCAAGAGGAAGTCATGAAATATGTCTTGTCTTCTTTGTAGATATTGCATTTGTTCCCTTGAACACTTTAATACAAAACATTTATTTCATAGTCATAGTCTATTAAGCAAACGAGTCAAAATGTGTTAGCCTTCTTTGCCTTTCCCGCTTTCCTTTCAAGCTTTCATGTACTTGTGCTCATGCCTTCTGGCTGTGTAGGCCCGTAAAGAGGTCAATAGGAAATCCATCCAATTGCCTTAATATAGAGGAGTTATAATCATACTAGTAAATAGCATTTTCGGTAAGTCTGTAGGTCGATTATGACATGTGCACTGGCAGAACATACACAAAGGCTACAGTAAATTTATCTTCCAAACAGCACACCACTCTGAACCCTGACCTTTAGGAAGACTGTTTGGACAGCCATGAAGCTTTGGTGTGGGGCTACTGGGAACCATTTTTATTGGCAAAGATAACCTTTAACTTGAGAGGTATATGAAGGCAGCGCTGGATTGTTGGTTCATTACAGCCATCCCTACGGAATGCAGGGAAGAGTCGACTATTTTTAGTGTTCTCATGGAGCTTTGGGGGTTTTATCAGATGATGTAATGAGTTGATATTGTCTCTCTGTCAGCTTGCTCACAGGAGCGCAGTGGAGTAATAAGAAAGGGAACTTACAATCAAAATGGAATTACTGTCAGATATTGATGGAATCCGCAGACCACACGCCTCAGTTGAGATGTCACACCTGCATGTATGGCTCCCATACACATACATGATCTGACAGCAGGATACCATGCTATGACAAAAATGCAGTCCCCATGGTGGTAAGAGTAACCAAAATGCGACACTAGTTGGAATGGGAAAGAAAATTATATATCACAGAGCATGGAGAATTATTTTTTTCAATGGAATGGAAATAGCAGATCTTTGATTATGGTGGATACATTTCAATACAGACTAAGAATGTTAGAAATTGGAAATCGGGGCCTTGTTTAGCTAAGTGGTTAAGCATGCGCCCCATGTTTAGGGGCTACAGTCTTTGTTGCTGGCCCGGGTTTAATTTCAACCCCAGGCAGCCCACTCTTTCCTCCCTATTTTTAATTTCTTTCACTACTGTCTTATCAGATCAACGCAAAAGTGCCAAAAAATAAATAAACAAAACAGTGCAAAATGCAACTAAGGAGCAGGTACAGTAGTGCTTATATTATATGGAAACAAATATGAGAATGAACTTACTTATTCTGCAACATTTACTAATCAACATCTCAAGTGTCTCAAATCTTTAAAACCCTTTTCTATCATGTCTGCTTCTCTTTATTTGTGGTGTAATTATCCCATAATGCTTTGTAAAGTCAGTGTATATGATGTACTAAACCCACCCACACACACACACACACACACACACACACACACACACACACACACACACACACACACACACACACACACACACACACACAGAAAACGGGCCCGTTCTGAGCCATTATCCCTAGCCTTTGTCACATCTGCTAGCTATTAATCAGCCCCCACTTAGCTCATCAACAGGCAGATTGAATAGAGGAACAACAGCAGGTAAACATACTGGCAGGTGTATCAGCACAATCACTTCCCGCCTTCTAGATCATTCCCTCTGATTGGAGATTAATGTGTCCATCTGGACCACATTACAACTTTGAAATGTTGTAAAACTTTCTGTTTGATTTCGTCGAGATGCACGGAGGTTCAAACAGGGAGATAAAATAAAGGTAATGTGTTTGGAGGGCAGCTTTTATGTAGCAACAAAAAAACTGTCATAATGGGAAAGGTCACAGGTTTGATGCAGTCGTAAATGAATTGCCAACATAGGAGCAGATGGTACTCGGATGGGAACTATTGCAAAACTTTCATTACTCATTGCTTCTAAACAAAAAACGTCAAGGAATTTCCATGTATAGCTTAGAAAGAATGGTTTATTATTGTGTATGTAGGATACAGCAACCATCAAACAAAGAAAAACAATTAGCAATAAAAGCAATGTCCAATATGCTGCTGCTAAGACCTTTGATGTCACCTCTAACTTCTAAGTTCTCCCAATAACAAAGCATTGACTAACACTCTTATGACCTTCAGACATCCAAAAATCAATGTGAACGATTATTTCAGTATGTGACAAGCTGAAAATGAACTTGAGCACTGCCTCAGCATAAAGAGGTTAAACTAATTGGGTGTGTGTTAGTGTCAGAGAGTAAATGCATACTGTATGTGTATGGGTTTCCACATTGACAGCTGACAGAATATCTCTTCTGCATTGACTTCCTTCTGGCACAACCTTTACAGTTCGTGCAAATTATGTCCGTTCTACTTGCAAGAAGTGTTGTTCCCAGTGGAGCGTGATCAACCCTAATTGCTCCTCCCCTCTTTGCCATTTGCTGAAATCAGCTTTGTTATAATGTTAGGGGATGCAATGTTAATGATTCATTTCAGTTAGATTGATTTGAAGAGCTTTTGTGCAGGACAGAATAAGATAAAAGTAGCTTATTAAGGATTTTTTTCTCGCTCAGCAAAAGCTGATATCTAGCAAAATATTCAACCTGTGAATGTTGCAGTAGCCTAGAGGTGAAAGAAGCACATTTGTGAATAGCTGGTCAGCAGTTAAAATATCTGAACCTGCTGGAAACGTGGCCTGTGTAGGTGAAAACAAGGGAGAATATGTAATGTGCTCCATCCATCAAGAATTACTGCCAAAGTGCCCTTTATAAAAGCACTTAACTTAGGCTGCTTTGGTGGAAGCTGTTCTGCGAATAACTCTGGAGACATGTAAAGGGACTGTGAGCCTCTCCAGTAAGAATGTGAAACAGGTTGTTGCTGAAAAGAGCATGCATGTCTGCTCGATCGTCCTTGGATGGATGAGTGTTTTATAAAAGGCAATTGGATGTTTAATGAGTTTGCAAGGTCTGTTTGCACTTCTACTTAACAGTTTATTCTTTCATAGACAGTGTTGTTGATGAGGGGGGTCAGACTCTGGAAAAAAAATGGTTTGTTTCTCCTTTCATAAATGTAAGATAAAAAACACAGCGTCTTAGTGATTTGGTCTTCTTTCCCTTCAGGTAAATGCTCGAGACTTCTCCAAGGTCGACCATGGCGAGGCAGTGGTGGAGGCCATCAGGCGAGACCCCATCGTTGTTCAAGTTCTTAGGCGGACCCCAACCAGAGCCACGAATCACAGTGGAATGCCAGAAGATGTGTGTGTGGTGGATGTTTGCACACAGACAGACATCACCTTCGAGCACATCATGGCACTGGCTAAGCTCCGGCCTGCGACTCCACCCGTCCCTGATATCTGTCCTTTTCTTTTGTCTGACAGGTAAGGGAATCACCTATAGCTAATGCAAAGAGTTCTAGCCTTCCATTTAATGAAAGGTTGCTGAATGTTTATGCTTAAGGCAAAGATGACATGGACTGGCTCAAAACTGTTATCCAATATTTTCTTATTTGGAACTAGGACTTTTTATTTTCATTTAAAGTGAAAGTGGAATGAAGTTTCATTTCAAAGTAGTTATCAAGCAGTTGTATCACAGTGTGGAAACCCTCAGCAAGGCTAAGTACTTTGTCCCTGTGATATCATTATGCAGAACCAAACCCTCTTGCAATAATTGCTTCTGTGTGCTACATCCATTTTCTTTAATGGGAGCTTTAGCTGGGCGATTAAAAGCCAATGGCCTGATAGAGCAGGCATTCTGGCGCTCCCTGCATTCTGTGCCTATTTATAGGGCATTGCTGGGCGAGTGATGAAATCTATTTGTCGTATAAAACTAAGACTCTGCCAGTCTTAGTCAATGATCATGGCGAGGAAGTTATTATGATGACAATTTACAGAGGTCATGGCTTCAATGAGGTGAATGTTAGCTGTCTGGATTGGTTGTTGAAGTTCCTAACAGAGACCCATAAAGTACTTTAACACTGCAAGCTTTTTCATATGGTTTTGGTATGTTGAATAATCATATTACAAAGGTTGCATTTTTTTCTTACTTTTCTTGACTTCTCAAAGATGTCAGAAAGCCAAAGGTAATCAACACAGTACGACTTGAATGAAATATAAAAATAAAGATAACGTGAAGTCATCTGCATATAAGCATATCCATGAGTGACACTTAATAAAACTTCTTCCCCCATTTTTCCCTCTAGCTGTCATTCAATTCACACCATGGAACATGAGTATTATGAATGTCCAGAGTACCTGTCCAATACCCCAGCAGAGGTGGAGAGAACTGAAGAGTACGAGTATGAGGTAAGATTTATCATCTTTATACCGTATGAGTGTTCTTATATCTACTGTAACTGGACAGTAAAACATATTCTTGAAGAATTTGTCCATTACTATATAACTGGAAGGGATTTGTAGGAAATTTTGTATAACTTCAAATTCCAAAAAGAAGCAGTGGTATAAGATCACCTTAAATAATGTACATATTACATAATTTACAAATTATTTAAAAATATCAAAAACGTCAGAATGTGCAAGAGACTTAATTCTAATAATGTTTCAAGTTTGAGTTCACATTGAGGGTCGTTTCCTTTTTCTCTCTCCCATCTTTAACTTACGTTTTTATACTGTTCGGTATTTAATAAAGGTATAAAATATCTAAAAGATAATTAAGGAAAAACATTTTTTTTCCATTGAATTGACTTTTCATACATGCTCCCAAGACCAAGAGGATCAACCCCTTGGTTAACTTGATTTCACCGTGCAGCACATACAGCTGTTAAATGTAGGATAAATATTGGAAATTATTCATCAAACTTGTATAATACACGAGCTGCAAATATAACAATGATAATGAAACACAGATGCAAATTTGTGATGAAATCTGAGCCTTTAAGCTGTTCATTAATTGATAAGGCTCAAGCTTTTCTATTAATACAGTTAGTCCTGAGGACACATTTATTTAGGCAGTACACTATCCTATGAGACATACCAAGGCTAGACCTGACGTATAATGCTCATCAGTCCCACAGCAACACAGGAAAAACTGTCCACCACTGCATTACAAGAAAATTGGCTGCTCCATGTGAATTTTCTATCTCCAGTATGGACTGTTATGTGTAACATGGCAAAGTCCCTGTGTTATAGTGGAAGGCTTTATTTGTATAATGGTACAAAAAGAAAAAACACTCTAAATGGCCTTACAAGTGTGTTTCATTCACAGGCCAATAGTTTCCCATTTATCATGCGCTGTCCTTCAGGATTGTTTGTGTCCCTTTCTAGACAGCCACTTGAAGCTGAACAGAAATTGTGAGGACGTTATAAAAATAAGGTACTCACTAGTATGACAATGGATTTGGTGAGTTTGTCAAGCCGAAACCAACGAAATAATTGCTCAGCCCAAACCTTGCACACCTCACAATGTGACAGAATGTTCTAACCTTCCCCTAATTAATGGCCTTGGTCATTTTTAGTATTACGTTCTGGCTGGTGAATTATCTGCCATCTATTGTATTCATTCATTAAGGTCTTATCCTCAAAATTTGAAGCTTCAAGTTTAGTTTTTAGTGCACAAAAAAGAAGAGTTTTAATAGGTGTGCTCTTCCAAATTATCAATGGTGAAACATATTAAACTCGCTCTCTTACTCTCAGACACATGTTTAATTTTAAGCAACTAAAATAACAAAATGTTTGTGTTAGCACATGTCACTAAAATATCCGACCTTTGGTTTATGGCCTTCTGCCAAGCTAGCGGTTCTTTGAATTGTCCTTTAAGCCAATGCTAATGTTAAAATGCTAACATATAATTTAAATGCTAACTAGGGTGTAATAGGGTGTAGGATGATGTCGATTTACATTTACATTTAGGAGGTTGTGAACCAAAGTATTGAAACATGTTTAACCTAAAGTGGTGGCACTAGTGGAAAAGTAAGATTAACTTCAAGGAAATTAAGTTAGTTTAACTAACTAAAATCCAAATCCAAATCTTTGGGGAGCATAAATGGCTGTCCACAATCCTGCTCCGTAGATTTTAAAGGCATAAATTATAAGACAGTCAACTTCTGCCTGCTTATTTATTCATACATATTTTGTTTAGTTCCAAGTATGTTTTCTAGCAGTACCCTGCTACATAGTCTTACTAACTCAAAGAGTCAATGCTTTCTGCTCACAAGTTTCTCCATTGTGACGAATGCATCATGCCACTCTGACAGTAGACTTCGAGGTCATGCTGGGTGACAGTGATGGCTGACGTTTTTCTACTATCAGTTGTCCCCCATGGTTTAATGGGCACTTCCTGGTTCAATGAACTGCACTGTGGGTCATTAGGATTCCTCTGCTGCCAGCTGTGGCCTTACCTTAAAGCGTCATCTGGATGAAAGAGTCTCCAGCGTGTGGTTGGGGGTGGAGGTGAAGGGCTTGTGTGCGGTGATTGTAAAAGTATGAGAACAAGGTCAGCATTACAAAGCTAACACACATACTGTCAAACTCCCAACCCCACCCCCACCCGCCAGACTTACACACACCAAATCAGTCTTCCTCACTTACCTCTCTCCATCCATGTGTATCAAACTGAAACATGAATGGCTTTCCTCTCAGATGAAAAAAAAAAAGGTCTACCATTCTCAGAAACATGACTTCTGACAGGTTTAGCTTCACTTCCATCTGATTGTCCAAATGGCTACTCCTGCTGTTGTATCATTTCTGGCACTTCTTGAAAATATATCAGTTTATTAAAAAGCCAAGTAGCAGATAGTATGTATATAATGTGGATGCATTGATTGTGTTGTGAAATAGCAAACTGTTATAATCAAATTCCCAGAGTTACTTAAAACACAGTTGTGAATGTCTCAACAGCTGTAGCCCCCTTTGGATATTAGTGTCTACTTTCTAGGCAAACAATGTTTGAATGAATAAATAATTTAGATTTTAATGAATGCTCAGTTAGGTCATCAGCATATAAAGAAAAGCTAATTAAGTGGCAGCAGTTTGTGAGAAAATAGCCAGATAGCTTCTGTTTGCCAAATTAGTCAAAATAAACACGTCTCAATTATGGATAGTCAACGGGTGCTAAACATCAAAGGATGGACTTTTTTTTTTTTAAATCCTCAAAAACAAAAAATAATATTGGTATGCAAGAGATGGTACAACAACGGCCTAAAGTTCTTTCTCTGCAAGTATAAAATGAAAGAATACAAAGAAGAAGTGTTTCTACGGTGTGTATCAAGCACTGACAAACACAAAAGCATGAAAGGAAGAGTACACTTGTGATTTAAGATGCCTGTCCATAATGTTTGGGACTCAGATGCAAAAATGTTCAGACTCAGTTCACGGCAAGCATGACCAGGGTTTGTACTATCTATTGATAAGTCAAGCACCAAAAACCTTCTTTCTTATTATACAATGATGCAACAAGATCCCATTTTGTTTGGAAACTCTCTTACTGATAAATGCCTTCACCTTTCTAAATCCATATGTCAAGTCTGTAACAGGTTTTCTCTTAAAAATCAATAGTCTTTAACCCAATCCATGATAAGCCTAATAGTGTAATTCAGGTTATTTCGTCACCACCGTGTCATCACCAAATACTTTGCATAAAGGTTTTTGAAGTGGCCGTTCCCCCATAATGTAGCTCATTGGTTTGCATAAACCAAGAAGCACTTCAGCAGATGGGAAAAACAGCATAATGAGTCACCTGTCATTTAGAATCATTTGTAAACATTTCCTTGCTGAATAATCATCAGTACACCTTAAAGATTGTGGCTGTAAAAAGGTGACAGCGGCAAGAATAGCATCATCTGCACAAGGGGACATAATGAGGATATTAACATTAGGAATGGGAGAAAATGATTTTCAATTAAACATTAAGTAATCGTTAAGTGCATATTAGACTGAACTGTTACCAACAGATGTTTAATGTGGCTCTAAAATATATGTCTTCATTCCTCATTTACCTTGGCAGCATGTGGCCAATGTGATCTCTCCTGCTAAAAATATGGAAACCACATAGAGGAAATTAAGAAGATAAATTCTATGAATTTTCATCAAACATTATAACCCACATTAAATTAGTTTCAATGTCATATATTTGCCATAATTTACACTCCACTGTGGCACATATTTGGATCCAATGATCCCTAGTCGAGCCTTTCTGCACCCACTGATCTAAACATCTGGATCCATTGCTTGTTGCTTCATCATGACAAATAAATCCTATAATCCATTAAAGCAAAACATATTCATTGTACACTTATATTAAGATAATAGAGCCATTTGGGCCAACCACCAGGGTTTGTAACAATCCAGAGCTGTATTCAACTGCTGAGGTGTATGAGTAGTCAAAACCAGTGCAGGGTGATATAATATTATAAACTCCTAATATTCCCCAACCTTTGAAGGTCAGGGTTGTCTGCACAGGGGGTTAAATGCCACAGAAATTAATTACTTCCCCTGTCAATCTTTGCTATCGGGGTTTCCCATGACAGCAAAAAAAAGGGGGGTTGGGGTTTGAGTCTTGTAGCCCCGCTCTGATCTCCCTTTTTACCCCCCCCCCCCATTTTCCTCCTTTTACAACTCTACTGCACTGAAATGAATTTGGGAGCAAGGGGTTAATAAAGATTACCCCCGGAGTTATCTTTATGTGATTACCTTTATACACAGCAGAGATCAAATGGAGCCAGTCGCGAGTCGGGGCTAAATTTAGAGACGGAGTTCCTTTGGGAGGGAACAAGCCAGTAAAATACCATCCATGTAGACATGAAAGAGCTGACCTGTTTATTGCCACATGCTGGTTCTGGTTTGATACCTACAGGTTTTTTTCCCCATTGATGTACAGAACACATGTTGGGTCCAAGTCTGTGTTTTTTGTTTTTTATATACCTGGTTTAATTGTGCAGTACTTTGTGCTGTGTTGCCGTATATTGTGCCTACCCTTAATTTTCAATGTCATTCCCACTGCTAAGCTAAGCCTAAAGTTGTGGCAGCTTGTGAGTCAGCATAGGCTTACAAGTAGACCAAGAGCCCAAGGAACAGAGGGGGAGACATTAAACACCTTTTCCCTGAAAATCTCCAATGCTGCAGTAACATAATGGATTGATGTTGTCTTGTAAACGTTCATAAGTGATGTCCCCCTTAATTTCGGGCCAGCAGATATAACCTCTTTAATTCTTTCATTGGTTACATTTGGGTGATGAGACTGAAAGGTATTGTCAAGGTTAGAATTGATGCACTATGTAGCCGTCCTCACAAGTTCATTATCATTCTGTGTATGTTTTAGGTTGCCGGGTTATTGTCAGTAGAATATTAACATGGATCATCTTTGCCTAAAGCAAAACTTACTACTTATGACCACAGAGCAACAAAACGCTCCCAGAGTTATTAGAAATTATAATGTAGTGCATAAAAATCAAGTTGAACCTCATCTCCCATGGGCCCTGTCATTTCTGCTGCTCTGTAAAGCAGCTGAATAGACTACATGTTTGAAAGGATGCTCTATGGTTTAGAAATCCATCAAATCCACTGGGAAAAACCTGTAGTGTCATAACAGGTGCACCATGAGGCAAGGTGTGATTTGGAATATTTTATGTGTTTGTGTGTGCAACAGGAAGTGGAGCTGTGCAGGAAGAACAGCCAGGAGAAGCTTGGCTTGACGCTGTGCTACAGAACTGACGATGAGGAGGACACTGGCATCTATGTCAGCCAGGTAGGACAGATATCCCGTTAATTTGTCCCAGTTGTGTCTTTTTTTTTTTTTAAATGTAATACATATTATTTCATTTACTACACTGACATTTAAAGTGGAGAATTATGTCACCCCAAGTTGTTCAAAATAATCGAATACGATAAAAGCTGTCAGATTGGATGAATTCTTGAAAACCTCTTTTTTTTTCTACTAGGGTGGCCTTATTATGGCTCTGGCCTGTGCAGGCATGACATAAAGTCTCAGGGACACACTACATGTACAGTATGTCCAAAGTCAAAATTTAAGGTACTACTTAAAAAGGAAATGAGCTGCATTAAAATGCAGAAAGAGCTACTGGCATTCTGCTGCAACAGCCCAAATAGTTTATTTTAACCTAAGTACTGCATCTGACAAGGCAAAATGGCAATAGTTTAGGATTGTGGGTTTGCACTAGGGGTGGCCAATCAGGTTTAAAGGGGGCCGTAAAAAAAACAACAACTGCCAACCTTCTAGACACACCCCTGCTTACCATATTAGACCTTTTTGATTTCCTGCCAAACAATTATCTTACCTAAAATGTATTCACTGTACTATAAATGAAAATGACGTGTGCTGGAAAAGCACTGGAGTATAAGCCTTGATGAGGGCTGATATGGAAGCATCTTTCATGTTTCTTTGATTGAACTCAGGCACCCATGATCAGTTTCCTTCCTAGCAGGAAGAAATGTATGAAACCCCATTCGAATACCCATCTTTACATCGTTGCACAGAGAGCAAGACGAACTGAATTAGAGAAGAAGGAGAGAGAAATGTTTGCCAGTCAAATATCAACTCCAAATGAGCCACGCATGGCCAAAGAGGAAGTCAGGTTTGAAATGCGATTCCCGTATTCTGTCATTCTCATTTCTCCTCCTTTCACATGTTTTTAATTGAAGGTTTTAATTAGCTCTGAGCGACACCCTTCACTCCCCCCACACTGAATGTTAAATGACACATTATCCCATTTCCTGTACCCCATCTGAATACCAAACATACTACACAAAGAGAAGACATATTACATTACATGTGTTTGCAGCTTTGAAAGAATTACACTTCCTTTTGCAAAATTGTTAATAAGACAAATTTAAACAAATTATTTTTGCTTCTGAGACAAACCTGAGTGACGGATGGAATTATGGGAGCTTTAAGCACTACAAACTGAGTGAATTAGACATGAATAAAAGTTAAGTGCAGGTGCAGTTTCAATCCCATTATAATGAAGGAAAAGTGAGTAAGCTGTTCTGAGGATTAGACAGCTGCTATAATAATGTACATGTTACAGATGTGCAGTGGATTTAGTTCCAATTACAATTTTTAAAATGACTCGACAGGTATTAATGTGGTTTCCACTTGTTCTTCCACCATGAATGTTTACTCTACATGTTAATACAAAACCACAAACAACATTAGCACCTGCTGAACTTCACCAGAAGATGAAAGCCGTCTCCAACCGGTGGAACGCGTCTATTTTCATACGTTTGATAAAAGGATAAAAATGCTAATTTCCCCCTCATTAAAATGTATGGATGCATAGTACTTTCAGGCAGGAATTATTTTTCTCCACTTTTTGTTTTCCACATGTAGCTCTCCTTCTCTTGATCTCCAATGCGAGAACAACAAAGTGTATGAAATGATGATTGAGGGGCTCGTAGCGTTGTTGAATATCCACTGGGATACATTTTGAAAAATAGAATCATATCTGTGCTGTAAATGTTCACCATTCAAATTGTTGTTCCACTGTCTGCTATTTTGTATGATTTTAAGGACTTAGTTGTTATCCCCAGCCAGTGTCTGTCACCTGCTTTTAAACCAGGTAAAAATGTTATCCTCTGAAACCACCAATATCATATGGAAAAAAAACAGGGTTGTCAGCACAAACATAAGCATCTTGTCCTAATGATAAAAGCCTTTTATGACAGCAGAGATCAGAGAGAAGTGTTCAGAGTGGCACATCAGTTGGGTTTCTTTTCGGGAATACAGAGATACACAATGACCGGCTGTGAGAATTGACTTCCTTATTGCTTTTCTTACAGGTGGAGCCAAACAGCATAGCAGCAAGAGATGGACGCATTAAAGAAGGAGATCGTATTCTACAGGTGCGTATTTTCATCTCAGTGTCCAAGTTATAGGAACACACATGGCTTCAAACTTGATAAAACTCTTTGCATGCGTTACCTCTCAGTGTTTTCCTGTTTCCTTTTTTTTTTCTCTGTGTTGAACAATAAGCCAAGCATGAACCCCTAAATGACGCTCGCTATAGCAGTCTTTTAAGAGGATACCCAAGCTCCTGCTTTCCCCAGTCTGGCTGAGCTTATGTATATTTAATCACCTCGTTTAACCAGGGAAATTAAAGTCCTTAGTAGCTGCTACATCAGACACTATATCATCTCTAGTCTTCTCTGTCTCGGTCTTGCTCTGTCTCATAATGCGATCTCTGCCCTGGGGTCTGATGCTACAATCATGTGCTCCTTAGATTGGTCCCAGTTTCCCCAGTTGGAAGTAGCTCCAGTAGCTTTATGTTGTAATATCAAGACAACATTTACACTTCGAATAAAATATAAATGATATTTTATTGCTTTCTTTCTTTCTAGATCCTTGCTTTTGTTGTACTCTCTGGTGGATGTTGCTTTGGATAAAAATGCTAAATATTTTCTTATTTTCTTTATGCCTTTTAAAAAAAGACCTCATTCAGCCTGTATACTTCTGTGTGTTCATATTCATGTCAGTTTTTAATTTAAGAATATACAATATACACTCTTATGACAGTGTATAGGTTTATATGGGTATATTGTCTACATTTAGTTAATACCTTTCCAGGCCTGACCTCAACTGCCCTGTTGATTAGTTAATTGATCATACCTTTCACCTTGACTGCCTTTTTCTGATTGGCTGCTTCTGTCAGGGGGGTTAGGCCTATTTAATCCTCCAGAGCCACACAGTCTGTAAGCTGTGCTGATTACTAACAGACATGTTTGCAACTGAAGAGTCCTCTGTCCTTTGTTACCTTGCAGACATGATTGAGAAATTGTTTTACAAATATGTGTGTTGTTTGTGAGGGAGGGACATGTGAACAGAAAACACATTTCCCCTAAACTGTTTTGCCCTGCCCCTTGGTTTTCCAAGTCTAACCTACCTAAAAAGCCTTTTTTTTATATAATCTTCAAGACCAGAAATTGGTAACAGTAGGATAAATTGGGAGAAGCTTTTGAAAAATAGAGAGCGGTTAGAACTCCGAAAGGTTTTAAGACTGAAGCAGAGCTGGATAAACACTGAAGCTTCAGAGTCCGAGACTTAGCAACCTGCATGCACATCACTCAAGGAAGGAGAGGGCAGGGGGAGGCAGCGCTCTCCAGTGTTTTGAATTTGGACAGCAGTACCAATTTTAAACGCTACATGTCAGAGTGACATTTTGGTTACTTATTAAAAAAATGTATGGAAGAAAATAATTTGGTGTCCTCCATGTGTATCCTCCTAGAAGGCTACATATCTACTTGCTTCCAGTCTGAACCAATGTACCAACATTACCTCCTCTCCATATTCATTGTTTATACTACATCTCTCTTGAGTACCCCCATCCTCTTATCGAGTGTTTCTGTGTCCCAGTTGTGTGAGTGATTGTGGGTAGCAGGGCCGGCTGTACTCCTGGCCCTATTATCTTCGCCTGACAGGCCCATTACTCTCGTGAGGAAAAGATGAACGCCACCTGTCAAAGAACAGTTAATTGTGTGTCTGGATGTGTGGTGAGAGCAGACTCTAGTGAGGTCGGACTACGCACACCAAATTGACTCTCCTTACCTATAGCGTGTACACTACCCATTCCTTTCAACGTCATCGTGAGAAGTTTAAAGACCTAACTGGCAGAGAGGCGTAAAGACAGGAGGTAGAGGAGACATGCAGAGAAAGTGAAGTGTTGAAAAGAGACAAATGGAGGGACGATAAATGGATGGAAAGAGTACAAGAAAAAAAAAGTGTCAATGTATGATTACTCAAGGTGTGTCTTGTAGGAATGGAAACAATGGTTAGACGTATTATGCTCTTCCTTTTCTTTCATGTCACTTTAATTTAAGATTATGAAGGTTATATTACAGATTGTTCTGTCAGACTTTCTACAAGTCCATTCCTCTTAACATGACCGTCTCTACCTGTCTTATATGTACAGATAAATGGCTGTGAAGTTCAAGACAGAGAGAAAGCCGTTGCCTTGCTGTCAAGTGAAGAAGTAAGGAGCATCATACTTCTGGTGACAAGACCAGAAATTCAGGTAAACACTCACACACATACACAGCCTCGTTGCCCTATCCTGACAACCTATGTCATGTCAAATAACAACAGCTGCCTGCTGAGTACCTTTTCCTTTCCTTCAAACTGTCAGCTAGATTGGCTGGTGTTTTCTACACACACACACACACACACACATTCACACAGGCACACACGTACAATACAAAGAGGGATTGATTTCTGACAAGAAGTTGTGATTTCAGCTGGAGGAGGAGGTATGGCTGGATGACGAGCAGCAGCAGCTTGTAGAGGAGCTGAAGATGGAGATCCTAGAGGAGAGAAGGAAGCAGAAGGAGCACAACTTTGACAGGGGAGATGAGGTGAGAGTCTAATCTAGGAAACACTTGTCAAAACAAGAGATAGAAATTGTGAATAAAGAGTCAGATGGTTGACAGGAGGGAAGAGGAGACCTAAAGAGGTTGGTTACCATCTTTCCAATCCCAACAATGAATATCCTGATGATTTTTGGAGCGTTGAACAAAAGCCTGAATTTAATGTCAACATTTTAACAACTCTTGGTCTCATTAATAACTAAGAATTATTCCCATATGATAGGCAAAAAAAAAACCTGGTAGCAGACATTCTGCGGCTTTGACTAGCATTAAGCTCTCCGCTAGCACTGCACCATTGTTTGTTACATTCACATTATTTTTTACCTGTAACTAGTTGATGCTTTTTTGGAGGAGTGGGGGATTATCAATTATTGTATCTGAACAGTGCATTGCCTACCATACTTGTCAACAGTGATACTGCATTTTGGACAGTTTCTGAGGCAGATACCTATACTTGTATCATTATTTCATCAACGAAGAATGGCCAATCGAAACACCTGGTTATATGTCAGACGTTTTATACCCATCAGTCACCGGCCTCGTTCCTGCAAAACTCTTGTATTAGGAACAAATGTCACTTTATATCAATTGTCAGGTGCGGAATCATCCAATAGGGTTACAATATAACATGCTACTTGGCTGATACTTGTTCCTTCTGTAACGTACTGTGTGTCAAACTCTCCTCTCCTTGGAAGCTTTGCAGGTAAATGACATTAAAACATTTTTTAATCTTTCTTCATCAAATCAGATTGAAGAAGAGACGACAGACACAGCAACCTATTCCTCAAACAATCAAGACAAAGACAGTGGCTTTGGACGCAGTACAGACAGTCCAGAGCACCAACCACTTCTAGCTAGAATTCACAGGAGGACCCCAGCACACTGCCTTAGGGAACGATGGCGGGCAGAGCATCCACACACAAGACGAGGGACTGTAGTGCCGCCGGACGCTCAGGGTCCAAGGAACCCGTCAAAAGGCCATGAAGGGGTAATCAGTATTCGCAATGGCGGAGGAGGAATTCTAGGGTTAGAGAATCGCTTCGAGCAACTCCTTGAGCTCAAATGTCAAATCCGTAATGGAGGAGAGTGTGGGGTGTACTCCATCCGACACAGTATAGAGTGTAGTCTCACTGAGCAAGCGGGAGGGGATGCAGATGATGTGGATGATGAAGATGGAGGTACAGGAGTGGAGCAGGAGTTGAGGATGCTAAATGAAGAACTGCGTAGCATTGAGCTTGAGTGCCAGAGCATCATGCAGGCACATCAGCTCCGCCAGACCCACCAGGTGGATCCATCACAGTCTCCTTCCTCACCAGGAAGGAGCCCAAAAGATGGACACAAGCGACACGGCAGGTTGGCCGACATCCACGAATACCCAGAGAGATTGGACAGTGATAAGATTAGAGAGAAGGATAGCTCCAGTGCCTACAACACTGCGGAAAGTGCACGGTCGACACCACTTGGTATGGAGAGATCTCCTGATCATTCTCTACAGAGACACATCAGCATTACCAACCAGAAAAACCTCAGACTGGCTTCTTCCATACCGTCCAGCCCCATTCCTATCCCAAAGCCTCAAGGTACACCTAAGGCTGTCAGACCGGCAGACCCAGGGCCTGTGATCTCAAGTAGCCCAGACCAGAGCAACCCTTCCCGATCCGAGTCAGACCCTGCCCTGCCAGCAGATGATGAGAGATGTGAGAAGAGAGGTAGAGCAAGAGATTCCAGGAGGGGGCTTCCCTATGGTTCTACGTACCAGACAACCCCCTATCCTGGCCAGGGAGGATCCAGGCAACTTCAGGTAGGTGTAATTTAGAAGAGATGTGTGAACCATAAGAGTGAAAGAAAATGTCATTCTAACAATGTTCTCCATTTTGCAGAGCTACGTCCAGCTGCTACAACAGCACTCATCCCTGGAGTATTCCCAGAGCCAGGTGAGTCTGCTAAGCCTCTGCAGAGATCCAGTGCACCGAGGAGGGCGCCCTGGGGAACCCCGTCTGGAATGGAAAGTCAAAGTACGTGCTGACGGCACACGCTACGTGGCCCGAAGGCCTGCTCGTGACCGCATCCTGAGGGAACGGGCGCTAAGGATCCGGGAGGAGAGGAGCGGAGGCATGACTACAGATGACGATGCAATGAGTGAGATGAAGATGGGCCGATACTGGAGCAAAGAGGAGAGGAAACAACATCTGGCAAGGGCCAGGGAGCAAAGGAAGAGGAGGGAGTTCATGCAAAAGAGCCGTCTAGAGTGTCTAAAGGAGGGGCCGGCCAGTGGAGCTGAAGGCAGGAAGGAGATTAATATCTTGGAGCTCAGTCACAAGAAGATGATGAAGAAACGAAACAAGAAGATCCTTGACAACTGGATGACCATCCAGGAGCTAATGAGCCATGGTGCGAGAGTCCCAGAGGGCTCCAAAGTACATAACGCCTTCCTCTCCGTTACAACTGTGTAGCAGACACATAAAAGTACTGCAGACTTTAAAGTATTAAACACTTCAACATCAGGTAGCTTGCATTGAAGGAACTACTGTATTATATACAAAAAAGTATCAGGACATCAGTAGCATTCCTGAGTTCACTTTGTAACTTTCACTTTAAGAATGTTTCCTAAGGTCTTTGATGCTGTCCTTCCAAGACCTTATCCATTCGACATGACTTTACACGGTTTTTACACCTGCTTTCAGATAATGCACTAGCAGATGAACAGATGATTTTGGTAGCATTTTGTTTGAGCTGATTCATAAAAAAAAGGTGAAGTACTGACACCATGCTGCTGTGTAGCACCCTTACCAGCGTCAACAGGAACCCTTTGTATACCATGTATTGTGTCTCTTTATTCTCCACTCTTTTGTTTCATTGCATATGAAGAGACTTCACTTGCCTCGTTCAAGGTGGCATTTTTTATAATAAGGGAAAATACAATATTTTTCACACTTTGTACACTAAGTGACTTTTTTGTAAGGGAAGTTTTACACTGAATGTCAATGTACTGTCAACCTATTTACTGCAATTTCTTATTTGTGTTTGTATCACTAAGGTCGGAGTTGACAATATTTGATTGTATTTTAGCGTTTTTATACCAGACCAATGAGGAACTTTAGGAAATTCACTTAAGACAACGACCCTTTCAAGACACATGCATTGAAATGTCCCTTCAGTTAGAGTCTCAGTTGAAAGCACTGGAAATATTCTTATTCTATATCTCAAAAGCTGATGTTATTCATGAGCTCGGAGGGCTTTTTTTGAAACAGTTTTACCTCAACTTACAATCTCTGACAAACTTCAATAGAACCTGGTTAAGTTGAACTCTGAATCAAGTTGACCCATATTACAAACCATGAATGTGTGAATTATGTCTAAAATGTTATATAGATTCATATTTATATTGTTTTATTGTCATTTCTATTTATCGTAAATTTGATTTTTTTTTATCTGTTTATTTTTTTCTGTCTGATAAATGTATCACATAAAGTGGCTAACTTTGAAAGGCCAAGACAAGGAGCTGTCAAACAAATGTATCATAGTGCAGCCTTTTAACTCTAACCTGCTGCTTTTCACTGTAAAGTTCATTGAAGAGGCCTTGAGTTCAGTATTTGTTGAAGGTGGTATTTGTAATAAAACATCAATAATAATAAAAAAAAACTACTGAGAAAGATTTCACTTTAAGTAACTCATTGCCCTCCTAAAATTCCTCTTTGGTGTTTCTGAAGTTGGACCATCAGATATCAATATAATGGAATAATCTGATGATAAATCCAAACCACTCTTCTAGTGCCACAGTGAGGTTTATACCTGAGGCTTTTGAGTTAAATGTCTCAACAACTATTGGATGAATTTGCATGAAGTTTGCAACAAAGACAGAGTCTCTTTTTTTTTTTCAAAACTTTAGTTTGCCCAAATATCTGCAAAACTTCTTATTCCCATCTGCCGCAGGTCTACATATGGTAAATGCTAATTACAACATGAACATGGCTGTGACCCTATGGTTACCTTTTTTTGTACTGGAAATGCAAGAATTTTCTGTTGAAAATCCATCCAGACTACAGAAAGAAATTCTGTTATCTTCCCCTCTGCTTCATGTCAAATACATAGCGCTCCAAAGTTTTTTTGAGATTCAATTTTTCATGCATCTCAGTCAACAGTGAAAGATGTCTCTATTTTATCCAGCATGCATTATGCATGCTGGAGCCAGCTGTTTACATGTTTTGGATTTGAGAAGGCACAACAGCAAACACTTGCATCCCCCTGCTCAAAAATAAAAAATGTACTCTTTTTGAAGAAAATATCTTGTTTCCTGCAGAGAACAGCACATTTGATCCTCTGCCACACACAAGCACAAAGACCAGAGGATGAGAGGAGGAAGTCTGGCTGTTGATCTGAGATACAAACTGCAAGAAAATCCTTAAAAGTGCTGCCAACTTACTGAGCAATCCCCTAAACTCTAAAAACACCCAGTCTATTTGTCAGTGATTATATAGCGAATGGTTGCTAATTGAACACATGGGAGAAATATAGGAATGGCAATGATTGCTGCACCTGGAAAAGATCTACACCTGTCAACTTGCTGTACCAAAACCAAGCTTCCATATTCACACTGAAAGGAAGTCATAAAGCGGTTGGATGTTATATAGCTCGATAGCACACTGTAATTTAGCCTGTCACTACAGCCTACACTATTCATGTATTCACACTGGGATGACTGACTGACAATCTGTGTGTGTGTGTGTGCGCGCGCATGTGGAGGGCGTTGCATGTCCATTTAGCGATAGGAGGCATCAAAGCTAAACTACACTTCCCATTTCAAAGCATTAAGGAGCTCCTGGTGAAGTCGACTCATCCCCCTGTCAATCTCGCTGGGTCTGTCCACAGGCCATCAAACTGAAGAATTAATGAGAGGCATCAGACTGGCATCCCCATCGCCAACGCTATTATGCATAATGTGAAATCAGGTAACAGCGCTGCTCCCACTACCTGCAATCCATCTCCATGTGTAATATCCAACCGGTGGAATCTCTGTGAAAGAAATGGCACAGGAACTGAGGAATAATCCCCCACACGTAATAGAATCATAAATGATGAATAAAAAATGTGCAAGGCAAAGATAATTGAATGTATATTCAATGCATATTGATCTGTTACAGTCATTTCTTTTGGTATAGCTTTCATTTAAATTGGCTTGGATTTCCATAAATGTTATGAAGCAATATGGCATGACCAAAATGTGTAGCTTAATGCAAAGATATTGGGGCTAATGATGCAAGCAAAATTAGAAAACAATACACAATATAAAAGAGAATGAATCTGTAAGAATATGGAATGTTAAATAGCAGCTTATAACTATAAAGCTAACACAAAACCAGCTAAAAAATATACATGGATTTACGTTTCTATCTGAGAAAATGATGCATTGACTGTATTTACATGAAGTAGTGGTCTCTGCAAAGCAAATCCAGTAATTCTTATTCTTATTCTGCTTCAACCACAAAATCAGTCAAGATTTTTGAAGGGGCAGTTTGGCATTTTGGATTATTTGGTGTCTAACTAAGGGCTTTTTAACAAGAACCGTTAAATGCAACAATCCATAACATGTACAGCTGCATTCAGAAGATTAACAAAGCATAAAAAAAGTCTAAATGATTAACTGTTAGCATAGCTCTGTCTAAAGATAACAGGATTTACCAGCACAGCAGCAATTCTAAAATGAATTCATTAATGCTAAGTCATTGTTTGGGTGCAAATAAAAACTGACGTATAAGGGTCATTTTGGGGCTTTATGTCACAATCAATTTCGCAATCTCCCTATCAGCACAAGAACAAATAAGCAGACATCTCCAAAATGTCTAAAAGCTATATTTTTTAAATCGGTTTGACAGAAAAACTCAACACGTATTTGAACAAACCAATCCAACATGAGAAATGATAGAGTGAAAAAACTATACTACCATTGTGGACTGAAGGGGCTCAGGCACCTTCATTTTGTTACCAAAAATCAAAGTATACACTGCAACTGTAACTCAATGGTGACACCTGGGGGATTTTGTTCACTCAGTAACGAGTGTTAGTATAAACGTAGGTCGATGTTCATGGGAAACTTTACCTCTGGAAAAATCCTTAATTCTAGAGCTACATATATTCACAGCAGGAAGTTCCAGTAAACCTAAATAGGCAGAGGTGCTGCTTGTCAATAGGCAAGGCGGGCAACAACTGACAAATTCTGCAATGACAGAAGGAAACCTCCCTAAGGGGGCCCCAATCTAACAGCACTCAGTCTTGTTTCCTTTTAAGCGTTGCATGCATTATTGCTGTGAAACCCAAAGTTTGTCAATGAAAGTCAACTAGGAGAGAAAGGAGAAAAAAAAGAGGAAGAGGAGTAAACGTCGGGACTCTGGCAGACATATTAGAATAGTGATAAACGCCGGTTGGAGGGGCCTCCAATTATTTTTGCCTAGGGCCCAGACAGACTCTAGAATCGTCACTGTAAATAGGGACATGTCAAATCTATAAATCCTTCAGCCATGCTTCTCATCTAGATCTGTCTCATTCAAATTCCAACAGCTGAGCAGCCTCATGTTGCAGCATAGCACAGATAAAAAAAAATGCGTGGTATCCGGGCTCTCTTTAATCTAACGATGCCTTTGAAGCAGCGGGGAATGAGCGGGACTAGAACAAAGTCAGGTGTGCTATACTATTGATGACATGAAGAGTAGTTGTGACATTTTGTGCGTTCGTGAGTGTGTGTCCTTAAGCTTGATTATACAGCGTGTCATTATAAAAAAACATCTTAGATCCACAGCTGCTCGATGAAAAGATGCACAAACACAGTGGCACTAGACTTTCTTTTGCTTATTTGATGAAGCATTTTATTGTTAAGTAAAGTTGATTGTAAAGAAACGCTTGGTAGCTTAACATGCTAACATCTGAACTAAGATAAAATAAACACAGTTTGAATATATTTCTAACCATTACAATCAATTTTCTTTGAAAGCCTACACAAAGTTGTCATCTAGTCCTGCTTCAGGTGATTTAAAGACACACACATATATGGGTGGGATATTGCATTGGTACATCCTCTTTCAGTTCAACAGAGTGAATGTAGCCTAAAGGTTAGCTTAGCGTCCTTCTGTGATAAAAATCTGCTCATTTAAATCTGTACACCTTGTGGGAAAGCCTCAGCGCAGAATGAGTAATGGTCCCTCCTACCTCAGCAGCTTCCAGTCAGGCGCCCGTGAGCTGTGCAATTAACCCCCAATTTCTCCAGTAAAGCTGGTAACTGGTAAACAACATGAGGCTGTGGTTATACTGGGTTGCTCCAGGGTATAGACGCGTCTCCCTTTATTAAAAAAAAACAGACCTGCTTAGCAAAATGACGAGAAAACCATCCTACAAAACTCTGACACGCTCGGTGTCTTGTGCACAAATGAACAACCTGCAGATGCAGATTTGATCAATCAGTGTTGTTTGTCGTGCCAACAACAGCCAAGCCTGCCATATATGATAATGTGGCAGACAATCAAGAGTTGTGTCTTATTACCAAATAAATGACTGATTAGGGTGTGGTAATGGCTGACAATTTTCCATTCATTAAACCTCTATTCATGGCCTCAATTACGTGCTAATGGCTCATTCAGACTTCTAATTAACTAAATGGATGTTTGACACTGTCTTTTTCTAACACCCGTTAACTTACTGCACTCCAGTGGAACTTTAGTCAGTCTCAGACTCAGGAACTTCACTTCTATCTGTTTTTTATTTTCATGCTTGAAGAACAGCAAAAACAGTTATTCATGGCAATGCTGCTTTATGACATTTCTGAATTTTTGCTTCTTTTTACCACATCAAAAACTTTTGATGATGAAGACTTTTCTGCTCCTCATAATCCATGTCCTTAAAGGTGCAATATGTAACTCTGACAGGTAGCATTTAAGAAATGCAGTCCACATTCAAAACAATGTAGAGAGCTGTCTCCCCACACCCCACTCCTCCCTACTGTCCATGTGCACGCAGCTTGCTCCTGTATGAAGCTTCAGTGTTTAGCCAGCTCTGCATCGGTCTTGAAACCTTTCCTGCGTTCGAATGTCTCGCAATTTTTCCAAAGCATCTCCAATATTTATTCAAGTTTCACCACATTGCTGGTCGTGAAAGCTTATCAGAAAAATGCCGAGGCTTTTTCGGTTGGATAGAATCAGTTATATCTGAACCAGTTCGCTTGCCTGCTTCGATCGCTGCAACACCTGTTGGTTTGCCGTTTGACTGACAAGCAGGAGGGCATCCAAAACGGCCAAGTGGGGGTGCCTTATAGCTGCCTACTTCTCTGGTCAAAACAAAATAAAACCATTCTGCGCTACAATCAAAACTTCCAGTACGGTACCCGTTTATTGGCGTTTCCACCGCCAAAAGTTGTACCAAAATAAGGGATCCGTACCGTCCTACATTTTTGGTACTTGGGGTGCCAAGGGTACCGATACGACCCTAAAGGTTCCATTGTTTGTGTGGTCCCGTTTTTCTTGACCGTTTAACTTAATTAATAGCGGGCTACACTGTGTTGGGCTGCTACGATGTCACACTATTACATAGCTGACGCGGCTATCTCCATCTAGCTTACACTCCGCTAACCAAATAAGGGAACTGTTGGCTATGGAAACGCAAGCTAGTT